TAATTAAATATATAATTAATTAATTAAATTATAAATAAATTTTAATGAAAACCTGATTTTTGAAATTTAAAACTTCAAACCTTAATTTTGAAATGGTGATACTTAAATACCTTATTTATGTATTGTTCCCATCTAAAAAATACTATTAATTTGTGAGTTTCTTGTGTTCACACCTTATATGATTTGGGTTTTAATTGTTGGGTAGGCTTCCACTGTTCCTAAGGCCCAATACATTTTCTATCCACTTTTCCTTGTACATTAGGCCTAATACTTATTCTCTCTATCTATGCTTCCATTCAATTTACACACTCATCATTCAAACAAAGAAACCCTGGCAGTCGATTCTCCATATTTTTCATATCTTCCGCACAACGCTTTGCAGATTAACATGGTAATCTTAATTTTTACAATTTCATCTCTCTTTTGTATTCATTTGATTTATTTTATTTTGGTTTTTCGTGCGACTCATTCTCTGCACTAGGTAAAATCAACCAGATATGTTGATGTGTGTCAAAAATGTGCAATGGGTGTACCCATTCTAGTCAATAAAATAATGTTATTTTAAGTAGTACACCATAGTATTGGAAGTAGTAGGACGCTTCATTATCCATTGCCTTAGTTCAATATTTATTTGACTTACAGAATAGCTTTCACAATATTCATTATAGCTTGTGTGCTTGTAGGGAGTAAAACACTATTTATCCCTTTTCAAATTTAAACGATTATTAATTTTTCTGCATTAGAACTATGCCTTTGACTTAAATTTATAGTCGCAGACAATTAGTAGGAAATCATCTACCTTGTTAATATGAGATAGTTGGCATATTTTTGTTGTAGATAATATTTTATACTTTTTATATGTTCGTCTTTGACTAAAATTGTGGAGTTTTTCCTTATAGAAATCCTCATTTAACTAAATAATAGATTGAGGGCGAGCTAAAAGTATATATTGGAGTCAAGAAGGTTGTTTGGTTGTCTTGTGAATTTGTTGTTATTTCTTCCATCCTTCTAGTTTTTTTTTTTAAGGTTTGGTGAACCACCCTAATTAGTTCGACCTTGGAGTCACTAGCATATACTTTATTTGTATTTGTTTTGATTTTGGAGGTAACCAAGTTTGTAAATAATACCTTGGTCTATAACAATTTGGTTGACAATAATATGATTTTTTTTTTTCATTTTTGAAACTATTTTTTTTTTTTTTTTTTGATAAAAAAAACTATTTATATTTTAATAATTGTACATTGACGCATTCTTTTTATAAAGGCATGAGTTATTTTTAATGAAATAGTTTGTATTTTCAAATTACTATGTACCGTAGTTACAATTCAATTGTGAAGCTAGAAATTGAAAATTATATGTTTAAAATAGAAGCCACAATACATGTAAATAAAGATAAAATAAATTAGATAATAAATGTATATCATTGAAGTGACATTCTTTGTGTTAAAGAAATTTAACTACAAGCACGGCTTGTAACATAAATAAACATCCATTATCATAAAATAATGCTCAATAATTTTCTATGTTGAAAAATAAAATATGTGACATATATAAATTGTCACAAAAAAATTAGGCAATAATTATGTATCGTTGCACAAATAACAATGCGACAAACTCTGTATTACGAAATAAATTTAATTACAAACATCACTTGTTACATGATAAATATTACAACAAATGCTGAATATCGTAAAATATATTATGCAACATATCAAACGCATTGTAAATCATATTTCATGACAAACATGACTTTTTATTAAAGATATATACTATGAGCATGTTTTGATACAAAATAGAACAGGTAATAAAAGTTATACCTTTAACATAATATTTGCAATAAACATTTTTCTTGTAAAAACTTTTTTGGAATAATCGTTGCGATGATTTGTAAGCCTCTTGATTTTTCGCGACATATATGTTTGCGGCAACATTATAGCAACAAATATTTTATTGCTATTTCGTACTTTTTGCGTCAAATAAATAATGTTGTGAGTTGTTAATGCGATAAATGAACGAAGGATGTCGCAAAATACATTATGTGACTCGTATAGGTCGACAACGCCTGCAACAAACATATTGTCGTCGCGAAATTATTTTTACAATAAAATCTCTATTTAGGCGACAACATTTTTTTGTCGCTATTTCGGTATTTTGTTGTAGTGGGGTAAGTGGATAGATGCCTACCCAAAGTAGACAATACGGAATATATAAGGACTTAGGCACAAGGCCGGGGTCGTTTAAATTCGGATGATGTACATTAATTCTTTCTTGTTTTATTCTTCTCCCTTGATTCGTAATTAATTAATTAACTAGGATGAACGACTGCAATACAATTTTGTACCTTGATTTTAATTAAAAGGTTTGGATTAATTGCAACTAGTTCATTGATTTGTGAGCAATAATTAGACCACAAAGTAAAAATGGCAATTCGGATAAAGAGGTAGAGATACGCTTTTATGGTTGTCGCGGTCATTACGTGAATTATTTGGTGAATGAATGCACTTGATTAAGGCTTAATCGGATTCATAAATAGATCTAGTTGAATGACTTCATTGGGTAGGATTTGCTCGAGAGAATAGAAGAATTCGATCATGCATTCAATTGTCATAAAAATTAGTGATTGAGATTAAGAGGATAGCTAAGATGAACTCTTAAATCCTAAAACTTAACCTTCATATAAAACAAATATTTTTTAATTATTTTTGTAGAATTATAATATTTGGATAAAAATTAATACTATTTCTATATGTTTTCAATCGAATTGGAGTTACGAATAATTGAACCAATGGTTAGATAGTAGTTATCATGAGAACAATAATTCGAACTCCTAAATTCACTTTATTAATTATTACGATCCGTACACTTACAAAATATAAAATCAATAGTAATATACTTCATTTTCCAATGTTTCGATCACTTTATTGTGAAAGAGTGATGACACGCCCAGGAACCTAACCCAAAACGCGTGGATTCTTTAAAATTCCTTTGTGTTTTTGATAGTGAAAACTAGGTCTTGTACCTTTATTTTGTTTTGGAATTTGAAGTATAGTGGAGCTTATTTTTGTTTAAAATTTCAATTTTCAGTGTATATGTGTGAATTTCCTTTTCGTTATGCATGTGTAAATGGTTATTAAGCATATGTTTGATAAAGATTTTTGAGGAGTAATAAGGTTTTTATTTATTATTATTTATTTATTTTATTTTATTTTTTTGCGAATACGTGGTTCAAAAAGTATGAAAAATTATGAAGAAATTTGAAAAATGTTCGAATGAAAATGAGTACGTGAAAGAAGTAATTCTCAAATAATCAAATATCAAACAAGAGCTAAATCCAAATGATATCATTAATTGATTTTTTTAGTAAAGTTTTCGTTTTCTAGACTTGTAATATTCATATTGAGGATAACGTATGATATCAGATATCTTACTTATTTCGAAATTTAACAAATAATATCATTACCACCTATACCCTATCTTAGTAATATTATGTTAGCACAATAATGAAAATTAATTTCAAATATTTTAAAATGCAAACAGCATTATTTATTTAGCTAGGAATAAATACAAAAAGAAATTCTTGAGAATCTCCAATAAATTGAAAGACACACTAAACTATAAAATCCAAATAAAGAAAATTCACAAGATTGAAAAATTATTCACAGATGACATCAATGTGTTAAAATTCCTCTCTCTCACTTCGCGACTCCAACTGATTTTAAGGTTTCATTGTCCCGAGAGCTGTCAAAAAAACATAAATATTATTGTTGTTGTTATCGTTATCGTTAATGTTAAGAATGACGGATGAAGTGATATACCTAGTGAAAGGGTTGGGACGGACATGGTCTTTGAGGGTTCGTTTGTCGTCCTGAATGTGAGCCACTTTTCTCAAGAAAGATTTATTGATGAATTTGCTACCGGAATCCGTCACCACATCAGGAATTTCCACCTCGGGCACGCACTCTCTCTTCTTCTTAGTCAACTGAACCGAAGGGGAATGACACAACTGCTGCTTTGCCGTGTGCATTCCAATCGTCGTGGCCACGACAACCATTCCAAACACCATCCACACCGGTGCAAACGAAGCACTCATCGCCATCTTCTTAAATCCACTACTAATAAAATTATGATAAACATTATTATTCTTTCCATTTAACAGTCAAATGCTAGACGTGGAAATGAGATGTACCTTGATTTGGTTGGAGGTGGTGGATGAACAGCATCGGCCATGACAGCAAATTTGGGAGTGGTGGCTGATGCGAAACTCCGTTTAAATTGCTTCTGTGGCAGCATAAAGGCAGTGAAAATAGTTACTCACCGGAAATAGAAAAAATAGCAAAAAATATGTAATTAATTTGGTGCAGAAATTAACCAGAGTTCTGAATGCCATTTTTGTGTAAAAATAGAATCTTAAGAGAAAGAAGTTGATTGAAGAATGATCACACAGGTTGGCTTATAGCATTTAAATAAATAAATATATGTGCCGTCCATGCCTAGCCTTACCTTCATTCTCGCAGTCAGTTTCGAGCTTTGAATGTTTCTTAATATACACGAGTCATCATTGGATTGAACTACCACGCTTGATTTCTTTTCAAATGGATGTCTATATAAACCAAACATTTTCTTATAAATTCATCAAATTTTAACTGTATTATTGGCCCATAATCTTTGTTCATTGTTACATTTATTTTTGAAACTTTTTTTCACCACATTCTTATCATTGACCTTTCATCGATTAGCAAATCTTGTTATTGATGACGATTTTCATCTAAAGATTTTGTTATCGTAATTTTTAAACAATGGATAAGTGTTTAATCATAATTTTGATTTTATTGCTTATTAAATACACGAGGGGTAAATAAATATTTTTATTCCCTTTTAACAATTTTTTTGATAGAAATCGCTATCGAGAACAAGATGTACTATTTAATGAAAGATTCAAAATAAGAATACAATGAAAAAAAGTTGGGGACATAAATGTGACAATGACTAAAAGTTTTTAAACATTTAATGCAATTAAAATGTAGTGCATTAATTAAAAATAGTTTTTTTTTTTTTTGGATTTTGTTATTTGTACACATTGGTGTATGCCCCCTCACAATAAGAGGGGGTCCATGCCCAATAAAAAAAATCGTGGGCCCCTATTGTCAGGGGACTGTCAATCTCGATGTACACGTAGCAAAATCTTTTTGTGCACGCGTATGTGTTTGGAGAAAGGGCAATTTACACAAATATCCCTAGAAAACATGAGCTTAAAAATAAATAGATCAATTTACACATTGAAAACGCATTTTATACATTTTTCATCAAACCTAAACAAAAACTGAAGAAAAAAAGAGAATACAAACCACCCAAACCTATCAAAACAAAAATCCTTGCCACAGATCAAAATTAGAAATCAATGAGTCCTTCAGCTACATTTTTTCAAAGAATTTTGTGTATTCCATTCTTAAAATCTGTAAATAATTAACAGAAGCTTAAAGGTTAGTAATTTCTAAATTTTGATTCGAATATTTCTATTTTGTTTGATCATTCAATAATACATTAGAGAGTTCATAATTATTTCAGTAAACTAAAAGCAATTATAATCTAATTTTACATATTTATGAACTTTTGTGTATATTTGAACTGTTGCAATATTTTGTAAATATAAATTTTAGAAAAATGCTATTGGTACCCTCTAACTTACCTGTAGTTATACACGGTGACGTGGAAATGCTGCAAAAAAATAATAAAAAACCAAAAAAGAGGGAAACCCACCAAATACATCAAAATACCGGGAAACAAAATCAATTGAAACTCTCTCTCACTCTGTAGCGCCCAAACCTCTACGACCCGCCGACCAAGCCGCCTCCTCCACTCCGGCAGGTCACCGGAGGTCGAAGAAGGTTCTCGCCGGCAAAAGGTGTGCAAACGGCTATTTTGAGATTGAAGAAAACGGTACCTTAAGGTGAGGGAGTATTGAAATGTTGTATGTGCTGCTGGGTTTTTTGTTTGAAGTAGAAGTTCCAAAATTAATGAATTTGTTGTTTCTGGAAGAGATTGGTGGAATGCTAGAGTTCGAAAGAAATTGTGAAGTGTAAAATCCAACTACTTTCCCAGTAATTGTGAAAGTGTAAATCCCCCCTTCTCTGTACACCAGGAAGCATTGTTCAGCCATTCATAAGCCTGTGCATCAAACTGAAGATCTATGATCAGACTTGACAGTGATGTCATACAATGAGGTTACTCAACTGACAAGGGACAATGAGGAAGAAGAAGAGCTAGAAGAGGATCCTAAAGAAGATTGAAGCAAAGATGAATAGAGCATATAAATAGGCTAATTAGAATACAAATTTCGTCTTATGTATCGATTGGCTTTTTCAAGTCTTTAAGAATGGCATGTTTTGTTAGATAAAATGAAACATCTAAAGCAGAATGAAACCAGAAAATTTCTGCTTAGCTGAAAATCTTGTTCTTGATTAATTGTTATATGGGATTGAGATTTCTTATTCAACCTGCAAACCGAAGTCTAAAGCAATCACTTTACCAGATTCATCCAAATTCACATACAGCTCTCCAATTCCCTTAATCATATAATTTATGATCCCGTATAATAAATGTGCCCTCAAATATAAGAATTCTGGTGCTTTGAGCTCAAAATTCAATCAATTTCTCTGCTGAATAACTGCATAGATGTGATAACAAACAAAATTGTCTCTCTCCAATAGTCTTTTACTACTCATTGTTTATCAGCACAGCTTACTGATTCTGCTGGAATTAAGTATAATTGTAAACTAATACCAATCAGCAACATCATTTTATACAACACCATACACACCACCAACATTACACCAGAAAACACCAGTTTATTAAAAACACCAGCACCATTACACTAGAAACATGAGTTTACATTACACTGACAGACAACAACATTACACTAGAAACCTCAGCAACTACAAATTAAAACACCAATGACACGTTGCAATTCATACACAAGTCGTCATCTTCACCATCTACACCATACACCACCACATTTTAAACAACCAGACATCTAAGGTAATTAATTGTTTAAATTTAGCTATGTCTGCGAGTTGGATCTGTCTTTCCGGGGCAATTTCAGCTGTCTCAGCTCACTGTAACTCACTAACTCATGTCCGGCCTTTTCTCAAGCTCAGTCGAAGGCTCAGGCTCATGCCTCAGCAGGGCAAATTTGTGTTCGCCATCTCCCTCTGTTTCTGGAGCTGGCAGTGCCAGTGCGAAAAGGTTTATGCAGAAACCTGTGCGGCCGACTGGCTTCTCTCCTACCAACACGGTTTCTCCTATGAGGACAATGGATGCTTTAGCTGCTGTTCGTAGGAAGAAGCAGAAGCTTCACGAGAAGCAGTTTCAGGAAAGAGTGGCTGCAATTTTGCCCGAACCTGCTCTTTTCACACATCTCCTTGAGTTTGAGTCCTGCGTGGATCCTGCTCTCACAAGGAAGAAAATTGATATCCAAGACTCTGAAGACTTCGTCAATCATACAGAAAAGTCTACGGATATATGTATTTAACACTTGCTAATCATATTCGTTGAACCAGACACGGGTTTCTTCGCAACCGTGAGGGTTTACGCTCTCACTCAGTGATGGGTTCTTGGGAGATATCTTCGTTCAGTGACATGGGTTATCAGATTTCGGGGTTTGGGGTTCCTTCGCCGTCGTCGGTTAACCGGATTCGGGGCTGGGGTTTATGGGTAGATCTCAATGTTTGGGAGATTTCATCTTCAGGTTCTCGTCAATTTGGGGGAGTGAAATGGCAGGTTTGATTTGATTTTGGGGAGTTTTTAATTTGGGCCGGGTGACACATGAGCGTGTAAACCACCGTGTATTCCAACGGGTACGTGTAGCGCGATTGTAAATTTTATATTCTTAAACTTTTTTGTCTTAGTATATATGAAAATTCCTTTTTAAATTAATGATTCAGAATTGTATACATGAAAATTCACATTTGGATCAATTGGATTGAGTTGGTGTATATGAAAATTCAACTTTGAATCAATTAAAGAAATACATACATTGTGTTTGTGAAAATATAAATATGAAAGTGATTTTAAATACTTTATTTGTCTTTCATATGAGCTAAAATTAAGGTGCTAAAATTTGAAAGTGATATACTCTATCACTTTTGTTAAAAATGTCGCAACTATCTAATTTGAATTCTCTTTGAATCAATTAAAGAGATGCATACAAGACGTTAGTGGATCAATTCAAACTTTGTTTTATATTAAAAAGTGACATGATGTAAAATCTTATTTGTCTTGTATATAAATTAAGGTGATGGAATCTAAAAGTGACATACAATGTCCTTTTTTAAGAAAGTATCACAATACCTAATGTGAATTCTTTTTAAAAATATGAATAAAATTAATTTCTTCATCTGTTATGGATGCAAATGGGAACAAGATAATGAACAACGANATGCAAATGGGAACAAGATAATGAATATTAAAAGTTGTAAGAAATAAGGAATGAAACAGGAAGTAAAATCATTTTAGTTGTTACTATGAAAGAAGAAGCCACAAAAAAGTTGGAAGATTCACGAAATTATAGTGTTTGGGTCTTTGTTTTATGTGAATTGTATATCAATTTTTTTGCTACTATAAAATAGAATACATATTACAGACTTTTATATATTATTTTCATTTTTGGAAAAAAAAAAAATACTAGCTATATGTCACTTTTGAAATAGAAAGTGACATATTATGTTACTTATATAGAAATTTAAATATAAGACATACAAAAATTCCATGAAATAAAATGGTCTTCTTAACCTCCTTATTTTTGTACCTTAGCAATCACATGCAAAACAAGAGTTATTTTTTAGATGAATATGATTATACTTTATTTTCAAATATATGGTTAGATGATACTTATCTCGTACAAAGTTTGTCACTTTTGGAATTTCAACCAAAAAGTGACTATTCTGCCACATTTGTTACTACAACAAAAATGACATTTTGCAACACGCAAAAAGTAACATTCGTTGATTGAGTGTTGCTAAAGGGGTATATCGCAACATTGTATTATGTGAATGTTGCTATTGGCTAACATAATTGAGCTTTGACAACGGTTTTAAAATAAATGTTGTTAATGTCGTCTTTTGTAACGTTTTTCAAATGTTGCAAAAAATTTAGGGGTCATTCTCTTCGTATTTCAGTTTTGTGTTTTGAATTTGTTTTGTATTTTGTGTTTTGAGTGTCTGTTTTGAAATTTCTGAAAATGCGTTCTTTTTGCCATTCTGAAAAACAGTTTCCGAAAACATAAAAATGGAAAACGCGTTTACTTTGAAATTTTGAGAATTTTTTTATCGAAAATTTTGGTTTGATTCGATTTTTAAGAGAACTGAATCGAACCGAATCAAATCGAATCGAACCATATCCAACCCTACTAAAAAGTGAAGGGTGAGCACACTCTGAATTCAACTAAAAGCGCATCAAAGGAACATGGGGAACAAAATAAAGCATACATGTCATATAATCTTCTAATGAACATAGCTTTCCTTGGACTAGATTCCAAGAGGAAAAAGATCCCCTTCCACTCATCACAAAATCCCACTTTTTAAGACCTTTTATTCTGGACCATCAAATACAAAACTCAACCAAATCAAGCACTTTGAGCATCGTAGATTTTAATCATGAAATCCATTGCAAATTATCTAGAGAATAGAATCAATGAAGAATCACTAGGCAAACAAGATGCCCATTTCATTCAATAGGGCTTTATATAGTCTACACATTTCATCAATGCAAGAACAACACACTACCGAACATTGTAACCAGTACATAATTTGGGTATCACCGTTGCCCTATGTTTTTTACACTATCAAGGGAGTTGGAGTCTATACGCTTGTTCAAGATTTGAGGCTACCGAACATTGTTACCAGTACATTACTTGGGTATCACCGTTGCCTATGTTTTTTACACCATCAAGGGAGCTGGAGTTGTTCAAGATTTCAGGCTTTTTCAACCAGTACTGCTGAAACCTTTGCCTTGCATATTCCATATAATCAAAGTTGATATGATTCACATATGCCTGCAGAGTCCAAAAATAGGCAAACGTATTAAATCAGCACTTATTTACACGTAAAAAGAACATAAGGAAAAATAAAATGAAAAACGCTTACCGAGATTAACCCCCACAATCCCCAGAAGATATGGCTTGCCAGAGTGAATTTCTCTATATCGTCAGCGAACTGCTTTACTTCAGTGTCACTGGGTTGATGGCCTGCATACATTAATGGAAATGTTAACTCAAATATGTTAGAATGTATGAAACATAATTATATATATAATCCTTGTAAAAAGGGGGATCAGAATTTAATTCAAGAATACGTCAACTAAGATCATTGAAGTTTTTTCTCATGATTCAAGTTTAAGGG